TGGGTGTGGTGAATCGTGCGAGCCTTCGGGGGTCCGCGGTTAGGCATGCCACCGCCACCGAACATGCCTCCAAGACCGCCACCGAAGCCGCCGCCGGAACCGAAGAACTGAGCAAACAGATCCTCGGCAGCCATGCCACCACCGCCGCCGGCACCGCCTTCGAGACCAGCCTCGCCATATTGGTCGTAGACAGTGCGCTTCTGGGAATCGGAAAGAATTTCGTAGGCGTGGGAAATCTCCTTGAACTTCTCCTCAGCATCGGGGTTGTGGGCGTTCTTGTCTGTGGAGGTCTTGTCAGCAAGCCCGTGAGGGTGCGGCGGCTTTGTTGGTGCTTACCAGGGTGGTACTTCAGGGCATTTGTCTTGTACGCCTTCTTCAGCTCCTGTTCGGTCGCCGTCGGCGCAACCTGTTCCAATGTCAATGGTCTGTCCCAACTGTGGGAGCGTTTCTATGTTCAACGTACGCCGAGGGTTTCGTAGAGCTTCGTTTCTTTGACCATCGTGCTGGTTGGTACAATAATCCTTATCTAAGGATTGGCGATAACCGGAGTTCTGGGTAGGAATCTATGGAGGGGCCTGGGTGACCAAAAGTCAGATGAACGAATCAAAAACAGTTCGCCAGGTTTGCAATATCTTCTTGTGCATTCCCGTTTTCGTGATGCCAACAGAAAAGAGTAGGAATAGAGAAAACAGTCGTTTTTGGCGGCTTCGGGGCAGAGCCGTCTCAAAAGGAGACAGCGGGAATGCGGATTTAGTTTGGCGGGTAAAAACACAACTCGGATTCGCTTTGCGCTGCAGGAAACACCGAAAGGTACTCACTTTCTGAAAGAAGCCAGGAATGGCGATTGCGCAACTGGGTATCTGATGTAAAACTAGAAAGAGGGAGGTAGTTGCGGGGGAAAGTAGGAAAAAATTGAGAGGAGATCTGTAGCCGGGCTGGCGAGGAAGTTATTGATGGGTGAGGTTCCTGGCGGGGAGGAGTACGGTGGAAATGTACCTTGGCTGAATGGACCGAAGTGCGCTAGTGACGGGACACTGGGACACTGGGTTTTTCACAATAAAGGGAGAAGCAGGCTGCAAAGGCGGGTCGCCTTGCGCATGTCCCGCGCCCAAATGGCCCCAAATTGAAATCGATGGAAGAACATGGAATTCTTTCCAGCCACTGTGGCGGTGCTGATGATGCAATACCTGCAGCCTCTCCGTCCATACCTGGTCCGAGGGGTCTTTGACGGTCCTTCGACTCCTACCTAGCAGTACCTAGAGGACCAGCAGGACCCTGATCGCCCCAGAAATAACTCTTTGTCCGCCTTCCAGGGGTCTCTGATAACAATTTGCGCCTTCTCTCAGCCTGATTTCCCTTCCCCAACTCGCCTCGAAACCTATTCTTATCCCACGCATCCGACGTATCGCAGAAGTAGCCCATTAACAATTTTTGACAATCCGGTCCCCACCACCAGACGGGAATCTTAGCTAAGCGGGGCGAAAGGTAGAGGTGGATTTCTCATCCGTCATTGTCATCCAGCGCTGCGCAAGAACGGCGGACCAGTCTCCATCGGATTTTAAGTCACCGCTGGCGATTGCCTGCTCGTTGAATAGCTCAGCTTCCGGCAAAGAGACATGCTCGCTTACACCAGTCGCCAGCTGAGCGCGAGACAACCTCCCTGTGGTACTGTCACATAAGCGTTCCGAGGCCGGCACTCACTTGACCCTATCAATTGCTCATCAAACAAATATGCCTGATTATGAGCATTCATGTTTCAACGGCTCGTCAAACGTCTGGCAACACAATCTTGACTGCAAATTTCACAGTATTAGCAAGCCCCCAACGATATCGGCCGAAAGTATCAAGCTACGCTCTTCTTTCAAGTCATGCGTAGTCGCACTCTATTGTGTCGCATCGTCTCATATAGGTGGTGAAATATTTGTTGAGGTTCCCGGCCTTCCAGAACGTTGACCTGGTTGCGGGTATGTTCAGATCATCCTTCTCATCCTGCAGATGTCCGTGAATCCGGACCTTGGATAGTCAACGCATCTGTTGCCGTGCTCGGACAGCGTCGTCCTAGGAACGCCATACTGAGGGTTCCTTTGGACATCCAGCCCTGGATGAGCTCAGTATCTCGAGAAAGACGAACTCTAGCACTGGCAGGCATACCGATACTAGATTCTCCTACCGCAGTATAACTTCTTCCATGGCTGGACACCAACTGGCCTCATTGGCACCAGCAGAAGCTAGCGCTTAAGCCCCATGGGTTTCGATGCTTAGCCAAGGCATTCCAGAACTGTCGCTGCCAGCACGACAAACTAATCTCATAGGTTACACCAACTTACTTCCCCTGCAGTGGGTCACATTGAATGAAAGAAAGCTCGCGCGATTCCTCAATGTATTGTACCCCTTCTAAAGGCTTGACTGCTTCGACCAGGGCGGACCAGTAGCTGATGTAAGCTGCAAAGGTTGCCAAGAACCATAATCAACGATTGCAACAGGGTCATCAGCGTTACAGAACATCATGATGGTCAACACACGCGATGACCAACAACTGTCGAGATGCATATGGTAGGCCACTCTGTGAGGTACCTAGGCGGGCGATTGTTTTGCTGCTATACGGCAGAAGTTGGTGGGGGAGATATAAGCATCTCCGTCGTCCGGACCTCAGACCAGAATAGTCCAATCAGACAAAGATGATTTGAATGTCACTGATATCGGTACCTTTAGGCTCGAATCTCAATGGACACCCTGCGCGGGCCATAAGCTACCTAGAGTCAATGCCGACCCCAAAGCAACGAAAATCATCGTTAACTAGTTTGGCAGACTGAGTTGTGCCTGTCCTTCTGCTCAAGAACAGCATAGACAAAAGACTGATTTCTCAAGTCAGCAAGTGAAACGACACCACGGCCGATGGTGCATAGATTGATATTGCGAGACCTTACCCCAGAGCAGAAAAAAAACAGCATAATTTTTGCGCCGGTTGGAGGAAGTCTCGCCTCCACAGTCTGGTAGCTGCAAAGGCTGCTAATCCCCTCGGAGAAGCAGCATTTCAGTTCGCGTGTTGGTGACGGCATTGGCCTGTTTGGGCATGCAAGCTTGAGCCGCTCAGAGTCTAGCCTCAAGTGCGGCACAACTTGAGGTTACCTCTGCTGCTCCTGAATTTTGTATCGAATCTGAATATTTTACCTTGCCCTTCCTCGATTCATCTGTGAGGAGACACTGTCAGGTTCTGTTCTTCGCTCGTACATGTAGTTACGATTCACCTTTGTTGACACGTTATCTCATAAATTCCGAAGATGGACACGACCGTTGATTTCAGTCCCTACCGCGCCGATGGCAAGCTTGTACGTCAGTTGTTCCAATAGAAGTCTATGCATAGTGTGCTAAGTATCGCGGCCAGTACGGCTTCGTCTGCGTTGTCACGGGCGCTGCTCAACCTGTTGGACGGGCCATCATCGAGGAGCTGGCAGGTAGGAGTTTGTTCGCTACCTCGTGAAGGTGCCACTGACACATTGACAGCACATGGAGCCGCTTCTATATATGGTAAGATAAGAACCAGAGTCTTGTGGTGAAAACGACGACAGAAAAAGAATGACACGTTCTAGCATGCGATAAGACGGCCAGTGATGAGACGTTCAAGCCTCTCGTCGCCAAGGTGCACCAAGAGCACCCCAACACCAAGATCATCCCCTACCCGTTCAACGTTGCGAAGGAAGAAGAGACTCTGGTCCTCATCGACGAGCTTCTCAACGCCTTTGGGCGCCTCGACATTTGGGTCTCGTCCGCAGGCCTGCTAGGGCCTCCGTCCATCAACGAAACGACACCGGCCGACCTCCAGCGGTGCTTCGAGGCACATTCCATGGCGCCCTTCTTCGCGCTCAAGTATGCGCCCCCCGCCATGGCCAAACTGACGGAGAAGCAGTCGTACCCGAACGCGGCGCCAAAGAGCCAAAAGTACGGCAGCATCATCGTCATCAGCAGCGTGGCATCGACATACGGCGGGTGCTGGGGGCCGTGCTACACGATGGCGGCCCACGCCGCGCTCGGTGTCGTCAAGGCCGGCGTTGCGGTGCTCAAAGGCTCGGGAGTGAGGATCAACTGCATTTCTCCGGGCCAGATCGATGTTGGTCTAGATTTGAACGGGGTAAGAGTGCTGTGCTTCACAAAGCTGAGCAGTCCGGGATTAATCAGCGCTACATTACAGGTCGATATGAAGGGAATGAATTCCCAATTCCCTCCTGCGGTCTTGCAAGGAAAGGAAGTAAGTCGAAGAAAACGAGGGTGAAGAAAGGAAGTCTAGACCCGATGGATAAATAACCTAACACTCGTCATCCAAAGGCATCCGAAGCAAGCGTCGGCCTCGAGCGACCGGGTAGTCCCCAAGAGGTGGCTCGAGTAGCCGGATTCCTAGCTTCGGGCTTCAGCTCCTATATCACGGGAGCAAACTTGGTGGTCGACGGCGGCTCCTCGTAAGTATATCCCTTCAAGGCACATCTTGTGACCCCGTAACCAAGGCATCAGCTCACGGATATCGATTACCCAGTGCCATGAACCCGCTTACGATACCCCTCGGCAAGGCGTAAGTTGGCGTTGAAGGTAGGTAATCAGCTAAGAATGGACTGCGGGGTTGTCCAATGGTTGCAGAACGGCGAGACGTGCATGCTAAGCCATGATCATACGGGGGAATGTCCGTCCAATCCGGGGATTGAATGTCATGAGTGTAGGCAGCCCAACTAGGCAGGAAGTTTGGAGGCGGAAACGGACATCAGCGATGGCTGGGAGAGAACAGGAGGAATCATGGCAATTGCGGGTTTTCGGTTCCCAAACTGATAGCAAAAAGATTACTTTGAGAAGACGCAAACGGAATTCGGAGACGGCCGGGGGTCGCTATTGGCACCCGGACCCCCCATAAATGGAGCATGCCAGTGGCCCTCACAGAGGGCGTTCCCACCTAGAGGCCGCCGAGAACAAACTAATAGCAGCAACCCGTGGACCCATCATTCAACTACACACATAGGATCATAGATTCGTCTCAACATCATATCTCATTCCTCATCTCAGAATCTTGTTCTGTCACTCACTTTCTCACTCACATATTTGCTCTTACTTAATATCATCATGGGCTTCACACCAGAGGTTTTCGATATTGCCAATGAGTCTCAGACGGCCGAGACGGCCAAGAAGTACGGACTTACCCCAGCCGAGGTGACTGAGCTTCACCAAAAGGCGACGGCAGCAAAGGCCACAGCATACTGCCCTTACAGCCAATTCCGCGTGGGAGCGACGCTCTTGTCTAAAGACGGACAGTACACATCTGGAGCAAACGTCGAGAATGCCTCTTATCCGGTTGGCACATGTGCTGAGCGAGTAGCCTTTGGCAAGGCCATCACGGAGGGCATTCGGGGGTTCAAGGCTGTCGCGGTAGCCACTGATATTGAGGCGCCGTGTAGTCCATGTGGCATGTGCCGGCAGTTGTAGGTCAACCCCTTGAAGATACCCTAGTCCTCGTCCCGCAACCTTCAGATAGATATCGTGCACCATCGAGGCGGCCCTTGGCTGACGTTTCTTTTGTTAGCATCCGTGAGTTCGTGGACCTGGAAACGCCCATCCTTATGTTCAACAAGGACGGAAAGTATGCAGTCATGAGACTGGAAGCCGTAAGTTTATTAGAAACAAGTCATTGAGCAAACACTTGGGCTGATCATCGTGAATAGCTTCTGCCGCTTTCATTTGGCCCTGAGTACCTTCCACCCCCAGACGTTCTGGAGAAGGCCCGGGCTGGCGGAATCTAGGCTGTTGAACGATTCGTCGTCGTGCTGGACAAGTAGATGAGAACCTACTAGCTCATGCGCTCATCAGCGACAACAGTGTGGAAAGAGCTCTTTGCTGTAGTGACGATATGTTTACACGGCCTCTCGTGGTATGGGGATGATTTGGCGTTGAGATCGGGTAAGGAGAGGGGAGGCTTGCTTGGCTGGGGTGTTGAGGGGTGAGCTTACCGCGTCAAGTTGAGTTGGTGCAGATAGGCGGTCGATTGATATTCGAACCTGTATACGTCTTCAGTGGGATATTACATTGATATGGGATCAATGGCTATGGTCTTCACTGATTCATTCTCCAAACAGATGTCACTCAAGATATGCCCACGGCCCGTCGTGAATATTAAGACATGTATTCCCACAAGCAAAAATCTTAAAATACAATTGGTCCGATCCCATGTCATGCAACAACAAGTCTTGGTTTTTGTCTATTGAAGGATGAGTCTCATGGCCAAGTGCTTGGTGTCTCTAGTCGTTATATGGACTTGTTCGTTGGGCATCCGTGAGCCAAACATCGCAAGCGGGCAACTTAGGAGTAGAGAGATCCGGATCAAGGAGAGAAGCCGACAGAACATCCCTTGAGTCTCATAGAAGTAAATCGAAATCTGGTCTGTAGATTTTTGTTTCTTATAGTTTGATCATTGGAAGACACTGACTACATGTTGTTAAAGGTAACCTTCGGCGGTATCGAGGACTGCATGGTGTGTAACATGTAGCACACAGCAGGCAATATTCTTCTTGTGGGTTTAATAATATTTTACGACGAGTGAAATATTATTGAGTCTGTAAATGCTCTAGCTAAATGTTTATGGCAGATATATCTGGACGACAGACCTGACGTTGCACCACTTTAAATTTACATAGGAATGAATAGCACTCCATTCAATAGCTAATAGTGAATAATGTGCTCTTCTCGAACAGACTTACTTTTGACAATACTTTTCTTTGGGACTGAACAGTAGATGTGTGTATTATTGATCAGCCGAGTCTACGGCAACAAGAGTCCGTTCTTCCTCATTGGGCGAGATGCTTGATTTACCTTTCAAGAGCTTTAAAGAACTCTGCCCTGTACATAGTCTAGCTATGTCGTTAGCAGCGTCTACTTTTGAGACTCCTCATGCAAGCCTCTTGATGAGATCATGTTTCTAGCAAAGTACATCTTAGTCAACACCTAAGAGAGGCATCGTCAGAACTTGCCCAGGCATCGTTGCTGATTCGAAGCTGCAAAGTACACAACCGCCAAAGCAGCCCCATGTAAGTGGACAAGGGCGGTTTCCCCATCTCACGCCCCCTTGGCAAGGGGCAGGTTCTTCGTTTAGTTGCATACACTCAGTAGTTTCAATGCAGGTTTCAATCCCGCTTCCTTGCAACCCTAACGAACTGCCCAAAACGAAACGAAACAGAAAGGGGGGGGGGGTTCCCAGGGGTGGTCCCCCGACACCTCAGACGCTCCTTTGACAGGACGGAGGAGAAAGGGAGGAAGGGAAAGACCGGAAGGGCCAGGGCAAGGAGGGGGGTGAGGAGGGGAGGGGAGGGAGAGTCTGCTGTAAGTCAGTCGGAGCGGATGAAAAAAAAAATCCCCTGGGCATGAAACTTTTCTTCCCCTCTACCAAGGTCTATCCCGCACACAACTCGAAGCCCTCATCGGCCGGGCCACAAAAATGTCGTCGCACTGCGCCGGTATCTCCGGGTTGATGAACGAAAAACAAAATCACGTTTGTCATTTTGAGTACAGTCCCAAGTTCTTGAACAGCATTATGATGAGATCTGGATCCTCTGGGTTTATGGCAAGCGACACTGAGTCTCGACTGGAATGATTTTGGTGGTGACGGGGTCTTGGTGTGTTTGGCGGGGTAAACACCGATGTCCCGCAACCGCAGCAAATCCCCCACCAAAGTTTTGACAGCACTGACATTTAGGTTCTCACGCTGAGGTGAAGGGGAGGAGGGGTTGTTGAGCTCTGGCCTGAGGATGAAGCCTGGAGATGGCTTTTGCCTCAGGCGCTAAGCACAGACCCAAAGGTGCGCACGCCGCGTCCTCTATAGGGAGCCAAATTTGATCTTGTTTTCGCCTTCGGGCATTTGGTCAATTTGAAACGATACAGAGAAGATGTAAGTTTACCTTGATAGACCCGGGTTCGAATCATGGAACGGTCACTAACGTCTCTCACAGTAGCATGGCCCCTGCACTAAGGATGACACGCTCAATCAAAGAGAAGCTACCAATTTTTTTGAGCTTTTTTTTCTATTTGTTTGAATTTGATGCTAGACGATTGAACGTGATTTTTTTCCTCGCAAAATTTTCAAACTGCGTTATTGTAGAACAAAACCCGGGGTGAAGGAAAAGTAACGAGGAAAGTGTCGTCGCCTTGTCCATGAGCCCCACAACTGGACGCTCAGGCTCAGAATGGTCGGCGGCCCCCTACTAATAGGTCCAACCGTGGACTGTGTTGAGCCACGAACGTTGGGAGCTTTTTTTTCTCACGCTGGAATGTGACCATAGAGAGAGATATCGAATTGACGGCCCGTCCACGTGGCGCAGCCCAACCTCGTCCGATGGGCTGGTGTTTCTCCAAGTGCCCTGATAACGGGACCCAGCCAGGCCTTGCTCAACGCCCCAGTTCACTCGACGCACTGCGTGTTAATCAGGTAGTGTCTGAATGGACTCCGGCCACTTGCAAGCCTGTATGGTGGAACATCCGAGGGCGATGTTCCATGTCGTGGCAGCAATTCGCCCTGCCATTCCCAAGTATCCAGCCTCGTGCATGCTCGCCCCCGCTTCCTTTATTGGACCCCTGGCGGTAAACTGCCTTGCGATCATAGTGTCAAGAGAGCAATTTGAAGCGTTCCGCTGTGACCCTCTGCTACCACATGTCCCCAGACACACATTCAAACAATCACTTTGAACAAGAAAGACACAGAGAGTATTTTAAGAGAAGATTCATCGTGACATGGCCCCTACGTACAGAGAGACTAGGAAACCGAAAATCAAAAACTAGAACCCTTGCCAATGATTCTTTTAGGTACCAGTCCGCCGCACCTTCGTGGTATTAAGGTGCCAAAAGACTCGTAAGCCGTTCCGCATGCAAGCCAGTTTTTAATTCCACCCATGAGTCGGGGCGCGTCCAGCAATCAACCAAGAAGATGGTCAGCTGGCCACGCCCTGTGACTCGCCAGGTAGCCTTCCGCGATCTATCAACAAACAAGTCCTGATGAATCTCGAGTAGATTTCACCCTCAAGCGTCAGTGCCAGATCCGGTGCGTGATCGATCTCGGCAGACAACAGGGCCTGTTCCGTTCCAAAGAGAAAGTATGCGTGTATCCGTGAATTCGTTACTTAGATGAGGTCGGCAACGTTCATGGGCATCTCCTCAATCTGGGTGCTGTAGAACTGCTCAATCTCTCTCATCATGCGGACGTCCTCGGCGGTAACGAAGTTGATGGCAACACCCTTACGTCCGAAACGACCACCACGACCAATGCGGTGGATGTAGTTCTCGCGGTTGGCGGGAAGGTCGTAGTTGATGACCAGGGAAACCTGCTGGACATCGATACCACGGGCCAGAAGGTCAGTGGCGATCAGGACACGGGAAGATCCGGAACGGAACTCCTTCATAATCAGGTCACGCTGAGCCTGGTCCATGTCACCGTGCATGGCGGAGACAGTGAAGTCACGGGCGGTGAGCTTGTCGGTGAGCCAGTCGACCTTTCTGCGGGTGTTGCAGAAGATGACGGCTTGGGTGATGGTGACGGTCTCGTACAAGTCGGAGAGGGTGTCGAGCTTCCACTCCTCCTTCTCAACGGCAATGTAGAACTGCTTGATACCCTCAAGGGTAAGCTCGTCCTTCTTGACGAGAATGCGAACGGGGTCGCGCATGAACTTGGTGGTGACCTCAAGGACGTCCTGGGGCATGGTGGCGGACAGAAGGACGACCTGGGTGCTCTGGGGAAGGAGCTGGAAGATGTCGTAGATCTGCTCGGTGAAACCACGCTGAAAACTGATGTTAGCATGTAATCAAGCGAAATTGCGATCTATCAAAACTTACAGAAAGCATCTCGTCGGCCTCGTCAAGGACGAACATCTTCATGGAGTCGGTCTTGAGGAAGCGACGCTGGATCATGTCGTGGACACGGCCAGGGGTACCGACAACAACCTGGGGGCCGTCCTGGAGGGCCTTCATGTCGTCACGGACGCTGGTGCCACCGATGCAGGCGTGGCACTCAATGTTCATGAAGTCACCGATGGCGACAACGACCTTCTGGATCTGCTGGGCAAGCTCACGGGTGGGAGCAAGGATGAGGGCCTGGCAAGCCTTGACGTTGGTGTCGATCTTCTGGAGGACAGAGATGGAGAAGGTGGCGGTCTTGCCAGTACCGGACTGAGCCTGAGCAATGACATCGTGGCCTGGGCAAAGCGTGAGCAACGGTCTTCGTTAAACAAAATAGGTATTCAACATACCCTTGATGACGGGCATGATGGCACGCTGCTGGATGGCGGAGGGACGCTCGAAACCGTAGGCGTAGACACCTGGTGAGGCAAAGTCAGCAACATGGTCCACAGTGAGGGCATTTCCGCCCGAAAATTTTGACCGCGGGGAAACATACCGCGAAGGAGCTCCGACTTCAGGTTCATGTCATCGAAGGAGTCGACGGTCTCATCGTAGTTCGACTCGATCTGGCCTATGAGAAGATCTTTGTTAGCGACTTGTTGTCCTTCAATAAGCAATGCGCTAGGCGCTGGAAAGAGGGAGGGGGAGGCGGTCGGTCGGCCACTGGTAGACGACCCCAACGTCGACAGACGAGGCCTTCCACTGCCGCGCCCACGATGCCTCGTATGTTGTCGCAAGACTTACCCTCAGGCACATCCTCAAGACCCTTGTCAGCCATGATTGCGGTTGTGTTGTGGGAAAAATCTAGATCACAAGCACAGCTTGGGATCTAGAAATATCGTCGCGAAGGTGGGGTTTGGCGAGGGGCTGGAAAAATCGCAAACGTCTCGTTAGAGAGTTTTGCGAAATATGTCGACGAATCGAAGTCTAAGAATTAAAGTCTCAACTAGATCCGATACTCTTGGCGAAACGCAAGAGTAGAACTGAATCTAGGAAAAAAGGGTGCGTTTGGTTTGGTTGTTCGTGGGGTGATGGTGCACGTTGATTGTTCGGGGTGGGAGACGAAGTTTTTATCAGCAGCTGCAGGAATTCTTGACCACGTAAAAAATTTCCTGGCGGCGGGCGGCCCCTCGATTTATGCGGTAAGCGAGGTGGCGCTAAACGGAACAGGCAGGATGGGTGATTAGGGCACACCCGCCGTGCCTTCCTTAGTGAATGAGCGACCACTAGCAGTGCAGCTATGGGAGACTGCTGACAGCGGAAACCAGCGCTGGGAAGGCCGGAGATAGCACGAACGATAGAAGGCACAGCAGCCGCACTTGCCTGCTAAATTTTCTTTGCCTTGTCGCCCATCCCGTCTCCCCCTCGAGGGTGCATCGTGGCGGAATGCCTGCTAGATTTTCATCTAGACAATCTTCATGCATTAATTGAGTCACAGAACATGTTTATCGAAGCATGTGTCCGCCACGCACTGCTACCACCCATTACCTGGCTCGTACCACCTGCACCTGCGATGCCGCTACGCCAGTGAGTGACATGATTCCTTGTACAGCTTTTTTCTCGTCTCATTTTCACACCCTTCTTTCTGGACTTCAGACTGTTAGGTAGATTCTTCAGCCTTTTTGCATGTCTGGTTTCTCCAACGTCACCCCCGCCACTACTCTTTTTTTCTCCCTTTAGCCCAAAGCAGCACATACACATGTCAATGTCCTTCCAATGACCCAAGGATCCTAGTAACTCGCCTTCAGACCACCTTACATGGCGAACGATACCTCATCTGTGCCACACCATGGCACTGTATCCAATGGCCGGACCAACAGCCATGCTGACAACACCAGCCTCGATGACTATGACTCAAAGGCCCTTGAAAATGCAGTCACGTCGACTGAGTCAATTCCAACTCATCCTTTGGGAGTGAAACCGCTGGGCAACCAGTATCTCTCGGACCGTCCGAACGCTCGGAAAGACATCGGGTACCTGAAAATTTTGCCCGATGAGGCTCTTATGCTCCTTTTGGAGTATCTCGACGAGGATCGTCTTCGAAATCTTGGCTACACATCCAGGTTCCTCTACGCATTCTGCCGGTCGGATGATTTGTGGAAGACGCTATTCCTTCAGTAAGTCACCTACTTTGTTGAGTGGAGGGAGATCATGGGGTTTGGTGTTGTTGGTGTTCATTGGCAAGCGCTGCGACTTACAGAGTCATCCATCTCCGGTAGTTTCGCCGGATTAAAATAAGGGCTGTTCTCGACCGGGATTTCCTGGTGACTCTTATTCTAGAAGGATCAGAGAACGATATCGTGGTCATGCATGTTGACGTGCAATTCATTGACTTGACTAACGTAACCTTAGATCTCACAGCTCAGGAAGATTCGAGGGCAAATGGCAGGGATCTTGGAGGGCTACCCAGTTGAAGCTCTCGTCAGAGCAACAAGCAGTCATTGACTGCAATAATGTCTTCTCTGACGTTCTACACAGACCCTTTGTCTGCAGCCATGTAGACTTGAAGCAGTTCACCTCAAGGATACCAACTCGCAATATGATTCGGCGCATGGAAACGCTGACCTACGAGGACTTTTCTGAAAACTGGACCGATACCCCTTTTGTTCTAACCAAATACATCCAAAAATGGCCTGTTTGCCACGGATGGACTATCGATACCATATCGAAACACTACCACGATGTAGAATTTCGCGCAGAGGCTGTTGACTGGCCCTTTTCGACATACAACGAGTATATGAACAATAACGATGACGAGAGTCCTCTCTATCTATTCGACAAAAAGTTCGCCGAAAAGATGAAGATCACGATTGGCCAAGAGGAGGGGGCAGCTTATTGGAAGCCCGAGTGCTTTGGTCCGGATTTGTTCGAGCTTCTGGGAAAGGAACGACCTGCCCATCGCTGGCTCATCATCGGGCCTGAACGGAGTGGATCAACTTTCCACAAGGACCCCAACGGTACGAGTGCATGGAACGCGGTGATCCAAGGTGCGAAATATTGGATCATGTTTCCACCCACGGCCATGGTTCCAGGAGTGATTGTCTCGCAGGACAGCAGCGAGGTCACTAGCCCCTTGAGCATCGCAGAATGGCTTCTCGAGTTTCATGCAGAAGCCCGTCGGTCACCCGACTGCGTCGAGGGTATCTGCCAAGAGGGGGAAATTCTATATGTGCCTAGTGGATGGTGGCATCTAGTGGTCAATTTGGAGAGCGGAATCGCACTGACCCAAAACTTTGTACCGAGCAACCAGCTCTCCGAAGTCATTTCATTCTTAAGGGACAAGCCAGACCAGGTTTCTGGCTTCAAGCAAGAGGTAGCTGATCCATACGCATTGTTCATCGAGCGACTGCGCCAAGAACAGCCAGAATTGCTAGAGCAGGCCCTCCTGCTTTTGGAGAAGAAGAGCATCCAGAAAAAGAGGAAGTGGGAGGAAGCAGTAGGCGGAGGCCAGGCAGAGGCCAACGGAGGTGGCTTCAGCTTCGGGTTCGGGGATGACCTGGATGATGATGAAATTCCTTGAGCAGCCTATTGTAGATGACAATATGGCATGGTAGAGCATGACGATTTTCGATATTGGAAGGCAGAGACTCTTCATCGATTTTGTCTTCCGAGTACATCACTCAATGCTTTCAAAGACATGGCTAATCCAATAAGGACGTAGAAGAGCCACCCTTGTATCTCCATGTCCTTGTCGTAGTTTGTCCGACACACCTCGAGGGCAGCTTTCAGCCAAAGGGCATTTGGGAACATAGTAGAAGAAGGGCTCCTTGGTTGAACCTTGCTCGGGTATCATCAAAGCCAGCCTGCTCACTAAGACGGAGCGACTTGGGTCAGAATAGTACGAAGGGCGCATTGTGGCCGGTGAGGGCAGAGCTGGACAGAGGATCGGCTTCTATGAAAGCACCAAATAAATGAGAATCCGTCTTTCAACCTTGTTCAGTGGAACGCTAACGAGCGCTTCACTGCTTAGCATCTAAAACTGAAAAGACAGTATTCCCATGGTTTTTATCTAGTCAAAAACGTATCTGAATAATTCCTCAAAAGCAAGAAAACTTCATATCATGTAGCATACCAAGATGTTGGGTTTCCTTCCAGGTTGCAGGTATAGATAGATATGTTCCTACTTCAAATGTTGGGTCTCACGTCATAAACCGCTTCAAGCTCTCGCTGAAGTCAGGACCATGGAGATTCTTGAGTTCGAACAGTTTAGATGAAAATGTCACTACCCGGGATGGGAGGGTGTGTCTACCTATGAAACTTGAGGTAAGGTGAGGTACAACAGGGTACGTACATCATCAGTTGCCCCACCCCGTTATGGTCGTCCCTTAGGACTCCCATCAGTGGATCACTGGATGGGCAATGGGGAGGTGTGCTTCTTGGGGTTACGTCCCGGACACCTACCCCTAGTGTGCCTCGAGATTGGCTCCTTTCCGGTACGTGCCCACTAGGCGCGAGTCCACTGGCACCGGGTCCCAGTTCCCCGACCCCCAAAGAGCTGTTGGCCAGCTGGTAGTGGTGGGTGGTGCATCATCCCTTCCTACCTTCCTGGACTCTCTCTCACCTTGCCTCAACCTGTTTGCCTGCATCCACAGGAGCGGTGCAGCAGCAGCGCAGGAAGTACGCACGCACCAGTACCCGACCGCAACTCACCTTACCTCTGCCGCCCTCAAGTGGCCCCGTCCTCAGCTGAAGGGGGACGACGACGTGCACCTGGCTGCATTTCCGCCATCCAAACCACCATCTCCAAATCTCCCACTTTCCTTCCGTCGTGTCTCGCTTCTACCCTAGCCTTTCAACGGCTGGCGACAAAGGCTCAGTTTGCGAGCAACCCAAGTCCACCCAAACGGGGAAGTCTCTTTTCTTTCGCCTACTTTATACCCGTAGTACCGACCGCTTCATTCAACAACAAGCTCGAGACGATCCCCCCTCTGCCCCTGGCTCCGAAACCATGTGACGGAACCATCGACTCCCGCCCACCAACCTCGCTCCCATCGCCAACTCGCTCGCTTTTCTTCGATTACTCTTTCAAGTACACGCAAGACTTTAGCGCATCCTGCTTCTTGTGGTTCTGACCTTGCACTGGCGGACAGGACAGCTCATCTATCCTCGAACTCAACCCCCAACGGCCATCCGCGAAGGCTGACATCCGACATCAACTCCCACCTAAGCCTTGCCTGACGCCGCCGCAACCGCTGCCACTACACTCTCGCCGCCAGCCTTACGTAGTATTTGCTCTGCTTCAACCCAAGACCGAGTACCATTCATAGACGCGCCGTCACGGTCTCGGCTCCAACCGTTACATACGTACGCAATACATTACTTCTGACGCACCTTTGCTGCCTTTATCTACTGTACCTAGGCCCGCGTCTCAGCCTCAAACCGCGCAAACATGGTTTCCGACGAGCACTACGAGATCTGCCTACCGATTCTCCAGGATGTCACACTCGAGGACGAAGACAAGACGGACAAGTTAGAAGATCTCCTGCGAAACCAGACGACTCTGAATGGCTCCTCACTAGATAATGCGATCCTGGATGTCCTATGGCGATACCGTGACGGAGGTGGACTGGCGGCCTCCCCTCCTCCTATCCGTCAGACTATCTTGCGGCGACCATCACCTGCATCATGGCGCGGCAATGCCACTCCTCTCTCTGGCTCGCCCAGACTTGGAGTCAGTCCTTTGGCCCCTCCAGGCTTTGTTCCGTCCTTTACTCCATCTTTCACGAGAACGAAATCGTCTGCGGCTTCTCCCTTCTCCTCTCCGAGACCCTCTCCGAGACTCGCATTTGCGACACCCGCCATACCCAATAGCCCGAACTTGAACGCATACGAGTTCGCAAACGACAAGTCACCTTCTCATGAAACTTTTGGCGACTATCAGACGGAAAACGTGGAGTGGCTTGTCGCCGATGATGCTATCAGCGTTACATCATCTGTCGGAACCTCAAGCGGCCTGAATGCTGCTGCCCCTGAGTTTTCCTCCATGTCCTCACAGCAAGCTGACATGTCTCCATATGACATGCTGCGCTCAATACTCGGCCGGACGCGAACTGACGAGGAGATTGAAGCAGCCCTTGCTCTCCACGGCTACGACCTAAGCGCAACCATTGCATCAATCATGGAAAGCCAGGCGCAAGAGAACGGATACAGCAGCTCGCAGCCTGACGACAATAAGGTGTCTCTAATAGGAAAGGCGCTTGCTGCAGAAGGACGGCCCAGTACCCCAGCTGGACAAAGGTCGGGCGTTATCTGCAAATTCTACATGTCCACGGGACAATGTTTAAGGGCAGATTGCAGATTCAGTCATGACTTGAGCAATCATTTGTGCAAGTAAGTATATCCTGCTCTAGCTTTGAGTGCAATTCTAGCTAACATAATTATCAAGATATTGGGTAATGGGCAACTGTCTAGCTGGCGAGACTTGCATATTCTCTCATGACCCAGCACATCTAATGAACAAGCTGGCGCTGGACGGAGCTAGTACTCCGCCAACAAAGCAGGCCAACTTGTCCGACCTGAACTTGTTTCCAGCACTTCCACCTGGCACGCCTGATCACATTGGCAGCTATAGCGGAAGCCCAGGTGTTACAATCGGGCTTACGCCCCCACCCGGCCTAAAGCCGTTCTACACGAGTGACAGCCCTCGGTCTAGATCTCGCCCAGGAAGCCGACACCAGCAAGCGAGGGAACTTGTAGCTCCGTCGCTGGACGATGCAGACGCGTTCCCTACTCTAGGCTCTGCTGCGGCGAAGCAAGGCAAGAAACACCACGGGAAAAGGGGTGGACACGGCCACAATCATAAGGAAAATTACGCACCAAACTCCCTTGCTGAAATCGTCAAGATGTCGCCATCTCCAGGACCAGCTTTGCTCCGCCAAGATATCAAAAAGATTGGACGAAACGGGAGCTCAACCAATATCCGGAACGGGGAAAACAGCGCGGCAGCACAGGCGATCCAAAACCCGAAACACATTCCTTGGTTAGAAACCGGCGAAAGAGCCAACAAGGCCTACCTCAAAGCTCGACAAGAAGCTATTAAGCATGGCGGACTCAGGAATAAGTTCCTCCAGAGGTAAGAGCAGCAATTTCATAATGATGTTTCGCCAGGCTGACCAGTAAACCAGTGCTGCTCAAGCTTGGAACCGGAACGATGCTAGGGCTGCCAAAGCTCTGAGTCTGCGAGGCCAGAGCGAGAATGACTTGATGCGGAAGGCACATCGAGAAGCAGCGCGCGAGCTCTATGAGGAACGCAACAGAGGCATTGCGAACAGTTCCGAGATATATGTAGACCTGCATGGACTTCACCCTGAGGAAGCCGTGGAATACCTTGAGCGGGTTTTGATGGAGAACGGCAAGGAGACTCGACCGATTTACGCCATTACCGGTACCGGTCATCACAGTAAGAACGGCAAGGACAAGGTCGGCAAGGCGATTCGTAACTTCTTGAACGAGTGGAGGTACGCTTACCGCGAATTCTCCGTCCCTGGAGATCGCAATAATATGGGTGGCATCTTGGGCATTGATGCTCGAAGCTACGACAAGTCGTTGGCGCGCGAAGGAACGTCGAGTGCAGACGACAGTAAAGAGGAGGTTGATATCTTGAGTCAGGGTGTGGAGATTGGGGATGGTAAAGTTAGGATGCTTGTTAGGGATCCTCCGAAGGGGCCTAGTGGGCGGCGATGACGACCGGCTACCTAGAAGGGATGAAAAGAAAATAAAGTAGAAAGAACCACAAGTAGAAAATGTCAACAAGACGCTCCAGGAAGCGAACTCCTCTATCAAAATTATTTCAAGACCTTGGCGCGTATGGTGATGTGTTATTGCAGCGATGGCGACGGTAGAAGTAAAGCCAGGTCTAGTAAAGATCGGGCGGGTATCCGTACCTTACGGCAAGGTAGGTTGAGTTCATGCAGGGAAGAAGCACTTTGAGCTTTCCAGCTCGAGTGGAGCCCCCACCGAAGGGGAGCGCTGGACACTGGCCGGTCAGTCGGCAGGCAGACGGGATGCACAGCGGCTGCCAATTTGGGACGTGCGAGTGCCTTATGCATCGAACCCCCTGTATGCCATGCAATTGAAACCGTTCGCAGGAAACATGAGACATTCTCATTGCGTTTTCCCATGAAACGGGCTCTTTAGGTAATGCTCTGTAAACATCGTCATCAGGAACGGTAGCAAGCCTCGGTGTTCTAACTCTGAGTTTCTTTCTGCGTAAGTTCACGTGTTTGGGTTTCCTTCCAAGGCCCTTCTACTCCGTATACGTGTATCCGTACCTTCTGGGGCAACTAAAATAAGGTACGTGGTACTAGGGCATTTCCAATGACCCTGGAGAACCCCGGTTATTTTTGGCCAGGTAGCAGCCCGCCCGCATTGACGGGTCCGACGATCCTTGGAAGTTAACCGCGGACCTTGCGCATGTCTCTGTGAGGTGGTTTGGAGCCCTTTGGTTAGGCAGCTTACCTCATCGCGGTGGGTGTGTGAGGTCAGCTCCTTCAACGTTGCGACGCATTCTCCTCCCTCATCACTATTTCTCTGTGTTCCATTCCTGTACTTCCATCAAAGATTGGTCCT